GCACCCTGGTCAACCCCATGAGCAATGCCGACTCGTCCCTCGGCGGTATTGATGGCGGCACGGGCGGCTGCAAGTGCGAATGGATTAACTTTCAGAATCTCAATAAAGTCACTGTATAATTTGATTGAGTTGTGGGGAGTGTATATCATAGCAGGGGCTTGATACGGGTATATCATTCGTTATTTTTCGTTATTACACACACACACATACACATACATGTACATACCTAAGCATGTCAGGGCGTTTTTTCGGATTGCATCAGCGTATTTAAGCGGAAGACAAAAATTGGTCAGCGGCTTTGGCATTCATAGGATGCTTTTTTTTTGTATCTTTTACTTTGGTACCTACCCAGTTTATGAGGGTTGGATGTTCGCAGCGAGCGAGGATACTCAAGCGTTTGAGAAGAGAGGGGTAGGGCGGAAAGGGGGTGGGTGCATGATACCACGATTTTTGGACGGACGATGACCTACTTATGCATATTAATGAGGGGCTCCTATGGAGCTATATGATAGCCAGCGAGAAATTAAAAAGCGAATTTGATTAATTACATTAGTTTTTGAGACTTGTAAATACTGCTCTGGGCAAGTTATGAGATGGGAGTGGTGGATTATCGCGTGAACATTTTGCAAATCTACCTACCTAACCTACAGTGAGACCAGTAGTATCCGCAACAATCCCCGATCCGTGCTGTCCTAGTAGCCTTGTGGCAAGTTTCCTAATAATTAATATGTATGCTCTTTATGTATCGCAGATTCAACAACATCTCCGCGCTTCTCACCTTAGGTGCTTATTTCCGGACATCTATCACCAGGTAGAGCAAGAAGCATAGAAACAACTTCGTTATTCCGCGAGGAACCCTAAGCCAGCTACGGAAGCCTTACGGCTATACATACTAACAATTATTCTTAGTTCTATCTAGAATTCTGACAACATCAGTTATTTCCCCAGCACCGTAATGTTCTAACATGGTTACTGTAGTGAGTATAGGTACCTTTTAGGTTATGAACGAATATACTTCTCATGTCTAGGCGCCAAACCACTATGACATAGGGGAGACTATATTGTCAGAGCGAACCCTTGATTGGTGTCATACATAGAGTGAATATCAGGATAAATAAGTCAAACTATTAATGCCTGCCTTTTTATCCCCTTTTGAGAGCGCTGTGCGCCTCTTATATACCCAATTCTAGCAGATCTACCCCTAACCCACTTATTCCCTGACGTATATAAAGTAAATATTACAATAAATTAAGCAGAAACCGGATGTTGCCATTGCTGCCAACCAACCCACGCCTGAACTATGCTCACCGCAACGCTCAATATTCCAAGCAGAACAGCAATCAAGACGCCGGCTAGCGTCGCCATCATAACGTACCTGGAACAGCTATTCCGTTCCATCCATGTTTCTAAAGGGCCGCGCGGAGTGGGATTCTGGAGTTCGTCGTATAGATCTATTAGCCGCAGCCCCCAATGCTCATATGCGATAGGTCCTTCGTGTTGCTGCCATGGTGTATTTATATCAAAAAGTACCTAATCAATACAAGAGGAAGAACATTTTCAGCAGCATGTGGAATTTTGATAGGTACTCCTTCATTACGGGTGCTGAGATGCTTGATAGCAACGCGAGTTTATTACCTAGAGACACTAGACCAATTTACAAAGGTCCCAACCGAGGGAGAACTTTTGGCTCAGAAATCACAGAAGAAAAGGGGTATGGTAGGAGAATTATGGGTTGATTAGAATTATCACGAGATGAACTGAGAAGGCGTGGAAACAACTTCGTTATTCCGCAAGGAACCCTAACCCTAAGCTACGGAGGCTAATGACTACCTTATGTACCTAACCTACCTAGGTACCTAATACATACTAAGAACATCCCTTGCTATAGATGAGTTGCCTTGTATGTATAATAGTAATAGTGATTGGTTAACTTAGAGAGTACCTAAGGTCCTAAGGTTTTAATAGCTAGTCTTTAAAAGAGTGTATAACTAAACAGGCCTTATTTGCCAACCTTGTAGGGCTAGTTGATATGTTTTGCAGTTATTTAACAAGATGTTGTATCGAGAACCCTGATACTCGCCGCCACATGAGACCGGCAACTTGGAACCACTTTATCCAAGGCGCGGGCGTATATCGCCTCTAACCACCTTAGGAGGATATGATTGCCACCTCTTTAGTCGTACGACTTTCGTGTACCCATCTTTTGTGAGCTTGTAAGTATTTGACCGTCTTCTCACAGTTAGGACATCCGACCGGCTCGTATGTTATCTCTGGGTCTTTCTTGGATATCTGCGAGTATATCTTTCTCGATTATGTTGCTTAGGATAGGGATGACATTGAAGTAGTCTTCCTTGATGGACTCGTCTTGTAGTTAAGAACCTATAGCGCGCCTACTGAAGAGTAGGCCGCTCCCACAATATCCGTGGATTGGAATCTCGGTTCCGTTTGTGGGCGGTGTGTGGAACCTTGACGTTCACTTTTGCCTCGGCTTTAGCTTTCTGTGCTATACTGCTACCAATGTTAGGTTCGTTGTTACTTTGAGTCCCGTGATGATGCATACCTTGTTCTTGTATCCCTAGCCCACAATATAGTCGTTCACGAGCTTTGCAGTTCAACAGGTGTATGCCTTAGCATTTATCCTACAAGGGATATGTCGAAAACTTAAAGTTGCAACGACGAAAGCCCTGAGATTTGGTGTAGGAAGTAGGATCACACGCTGTTAGGAGCGAGGAATTATGAGCCAACCTGAGACTAGGCCACTGATGTGGTTGGAAGCTCTGTTGTAGTTGATGTCTCTTGTTGATGTGTCTTGTTGAAGGATTTAGGTTAGGTGATGGTTAGAGAAAATGTTGAATTAATAATTTGTGCGCAAGGTGACTCTTATTAAGAACTACAATGTACTGCTGTAGGTTAGTCTGTTAGCCCCTTCCAGTCTGATTACTTCGCAGAAAACTGACATGTACCTGCCTCCTTATTTCAGTAGTAACATGGTATGACTCATTTCCGCCTTGCCTTCCGTCAAGAAGTCTGGTCTTAGAGTAGGAGCGACAGATTAAAGTTACTATCCAGTTTCCCTTGTAGAGTAAAGCTGTACCAAAAAAAATAAATTTACTGGGTTATTCTGAGCTAGGGGACAAGGGAAGCAACTGCATTTCGCTCAAATGTGCGCCAAAGCTTCATTACTCTAGTGGCAGTTGCTATTCTTAAGAAACTACCAGCTGTCGGTCGCCATGGTCTTGATTCTTAAAGGTAAATTATAAGAACCGTGATTACCTTAGGAGGTACATTAGCGGGTAGAGGGGGTCTATTAACATAATGTCAGCAAACATGTTGAGGTGTGGACATAATGTCGGCCATATGCATGTTAAATGACTGTTATTACGGTAATTGGCTAGTATATGTAATAGAGTTACCCCTGAGGGTAATTATATTTAAAATATAAAAATAATTAGGTTTGAAATAGTTACCGTACGTATACAATTATATTTTATTGTAATAGTATTGCTTTTAAAATATTAATATATTAAAAAATAATAGCTTTTTAAAAATTGTTATTAACGGTAATTACGGTTATTTAATCGATAAATGTTACGTATAAAACGATGTTAAACGAGGTTATTGTTATTATTTAAAGGTTTAATAATATTAAAAGAAAATTAAAAAAAAGAATAAAAAGTTTTATAATTTAATATAAAGTTTTAAAGATATTATATATATTATAGTATAAACATATGTAAAAATTAATTAAAAAGATTATTTAAATTATTATTATTACGAAATTACGGGTTACGTGTTTTATTATTATATTATGAGGTTATTACGATTATGAATAATTAAAGTTTATTATATTATAATATATATATATAGTTTAAACTTTTAGTAATTAACTTGTATATATTTAAGGTTAATATTGTATTAAATATTAATATTATGGCTGTTATTGATATTGTGGTAAATATAATAATTATTTAAATATTGTTAATAAGTTTAATAATTACGGCAAAATAAATAATACTTTTGATATAATAAATACTTTAATATACTGTTTATTAATATTAACTTATAAGTATTTGCAATGAAATTGGTATAATAAGTTTTGCAGATATTATATTAATCTGTTAATATGGTCTTGATATAGTATTAAAGGCCTGTAATTATGTAATTATATTAATACGTTTGCTAACATAATGTCAATAGACCCCCCCCTCCCCATAATGTAGGTACTTAACCCGGTTGGGACAATTCCTCTCGGCTTTCGAAGTAAGGGGCTACAAATTACCCAATTGCCTTTAGCTACCTACATACACACCTATTAGAACATGTACTTCTACAGAGGCTCTTTCCTTTATTGCTCTCGCTAATCTTGAAACATAACCTTAGTAACAAGGTCCCGTTTATATATTATGTAGCTTGTTATCTTTAAAGTAGCTTACTATGTACTAAGTCATAGGGCTGTAATACGCTGAACAGGCGGCTCGTATAGATCGTTCAATAGTAGTTGCTCCTAGTCAACTATACATAATGATATTCTAAGTAGAATGCCAATACATATTATTTAAAGGAGAGGCTTACTACCACTACGCGGTCTTATAACTGAAAGGCGAGCAGCATATTATAACTGAGAAGGTATAACAGTCTAGGTATAGAATAGTCCAGTGAGATATGTTGATTAAAGACTTTCCCATTAGGACCATATGATTAACTACGAACTTGAAGTACGAATAGTGCAAGTAAAGTACCATCCAATGGGGATAGGTACTCCGAAAGACATCAAAAGCAAAGCAGCCACAACACCAGAAATAACGCATCGCAATCCACCAGATACATACCACCGAAGAAGGTGTTTCATAGTATCGAATCCCCCGGGGACCTTTCGTCTCAACCTTCGCAAAGAAATCCTCGCAGCCAACCGCCGACCAATTCCCCTACCCGTTCCCGCCCACCTCAAACTTCACTCATACTCATGAATACTGAGGCACAATGAGTGGGCAAGTCTGGAATCAGTAGCTTGTGACGACATCGATCATAGTCCATATAATACACAGGACGATTCCGACGAGCAGGGCGCAGATGATCAGCATCTCGGCCTCGGAGAAGCAGTCCCAGAAGTCGGGGTGGATGTCTGCGTGTGTGAGGCGAGGTAGTGTGCCGTAGTCGTGGCGCTGGGGCACCGTCAAGGACAGAGGGCCGTTGAGAAGTGACTGCTGCTCGACATCCTAGTTACTTCTTGTTAGTACTCATTACACTAGTGACTAGGCATTACGTGAATAATCATGAGCTGGATAGAAAAAAAACATCAGAAAAGAATTTGTAACTTACATAGTCAGCTGAGTCAGGAACGGTGAACCAAGATCGGATACCAGTCGAACCCTGACGATGAGTGACGACAGTCTGGTTGCTGCCGCTGGGTGTAGCAAACTGGACGTCATCGCACTGACGGAAGGTAATCGCGTTATCCCAGGACTCGCAGGGAGACGCGACGCTACGAGTCTCAGGAGAGCTAAACGTGAAGACCACGCCGTCGGGAGAGGTAGCGACCTGGCGGATGTTCACGCTGCGCGGAGTGAGAGACGAAACGGTGCTGGGCTGCCCGGGCGAGAGAAAAGATCGGCTCTCGGGGTTCTTGGGAGTGACGGGAGGAGCCATGATACCCTTACCCTTGTTCTTGGAACTGTTGGGGGTGGGATTAGTAGGACGATCGAAGTGGCCCGCGGGCGTGGCCACGGATAGGCTTTCGGGACTACCAGGAGTAGGCGTGGTGGCCTCCTCGCTGGAGCTAGCCTTGGTGACGGGCGATTCGGGCGGGCAGACCATCTTGGCTTCTTGGAACAGTTAAATTCGAACTGGATTAGAGGAAGTAGGTAGGTAGGTATGATGTTTTGAAATTGAATTAGAGATGGCGAGCAGTGATGCGGTCGAGAGGGTTGAATTCCCAATGATTAGGAGGGATAGGGCGTGTTCGAAATCCCTAGGAATTGTTGTGGGATTTTTAAAAAAGGTAGGAAAGAAGAAAAAAGTTCGTGAATCAGGTCAGTAGGGTTTCACCTGATGCAGACCTGTCGACGAGTTGGAGAGCGTCATTCAAGTTGTACTTGTTAGTTGTACCTCTGCTATACGCAAGAAAGTATACAGGTACAATTTACGCCATATAGTCGAGTATTTGGTTGATTGACTTGCCTAGGAGTGACTAAGATTCAAAACTTCCTTCACAACTACATCTCACTACATCTATGACTTGGAATGGTACAAAGTCAACTTGGGAATAAAGTACATGCGTATTATATTATGCGCTTATGAATCCACAATACGCAGTTAACAGTCATTTGTAGAACCAGTTGTGAATATGTGCATTGTTGCCATGTCCTTGCGTCTTCTGCACTACCCTTATTTTATCTGTGAACTCGACAGAGAAAGACAAGATGTAGGCAAAATACAATAAGATGCCTATGGGTATACGTGCCCAATAAATAGCTCATGCATATGTGTATTAAATAAAGCCCAATGGCAGAAATTTCCCGTTTTGACTGCTCCGGGGGTGGAAGCCGCATATTTTCGGCACTCTTCCGGTGCCGGCGCCGTTCCGGGTGAAGTGAATTCCGGGGCCCACATTGTCCGAAGTACGCGGAGAGTGACCCACAAAGCCGACTGCAGGTACATGTATCACGGGTGTAATTAACTCTTATGTACCTATAAGTATAGCACGGTTCAATGTAATAGCATTGCGGCTCTGATTTCATGTAGGATCTAACTAATAGCATTTCATTTATATGCTCAGAAACCCGCTTTTTCGTCCCACCTTTGAAAAGGATGACTGACCACATGCCACTTCAACAAACAACACCTTTGCGCTTTGATTTACACAAACTGTGTTTATTCAAATAACATCACAGGTACCGCAGTATTTTCCTCAATTTATAATCATTAGCCGTAGATGCACATATCAACTAAATCTGTCCTAGCCTTCGAGCGAGCTCGTGGTATTAGTTCAAAGAGAGGAGAAGTATTGAACCCTATATATAACGAGTGCGCCTAAGCAATAACCCCAGCCCTAATGGATATCCAAGAATTTTACCTAATAGGAAAGAAATGTCATAATTCGTATCAGAATCCTAATGCTAAATCGACTTTATCGCGAATTTGGTCTGGTCTAGTGATTAGTTCCTACTTGTCACCACACTCATAAACGAGGGGTATTAGCTTACCTCTCATCCCACCTAAGGCTTCGAAAGCCGTTGCATAGTTCTCCAGTGTTACTAATATGGAGACCAGTCCTTGTTGAAGACGGTCGCGAAGGTTATCGACAAGGGGACCAGCCTCGCCGGTTGCTGTTGGATACATCGACTCCGTTCTGTCCTTAACCATAAGCAACGCGTAGCTACACTGCATTGCGCAACAAGCGAAAGAAGGCATTGTCCTTGGTGTGATCAACGTAGAGTTTGGTCCTATGTAACAAGGGGTGTCGCAAAGCAAGCCACTAGGATTCGGGTACGGTAAGGAGTCGAACGCCTGTGCAATATTCAAGGCAGACTTCAGGCATATTTTAGACGACTGGTGGGTGCTGAACGGGAACGTCATAACTGGTGCCGGTTGGTACGTGAAACCACAGCAGTCTGTATTAGGAGTGGATCGGCTAGAGAGCGTGGGCGAAACAGATCCACCAGATGGGCTGGAGTGGACAGAAGGTGTACTGCTCAGAGTGGTACAACACGACTGAAGTTGAACAACATCCGGGGTATCAACTGTATTTTTCTCGGTTGTGCTCTTCAGGTCGCAGTGCTTCCCCGAAAAAACGGCGTGATCGAAGAAAGCGCAATAACGATGGATTTTGATTCGAGCACTACATGTTGATGTTAGCCTGCTATAGATCAGAGTTCTAGGTGTAGTCAATACCTGTTCAACTTGATACGCGAAATGCATCGCAACGATTGAGACAGGACCGACTCCCTCTTATCAACCAACTGCGTCAATGGACAATTCAATATCCATGATTCGGATTTGGCGATCAGAGGTTCTAAAAGCCGTTCGAGGTCCCGCATTCGATTGAAGATGCGGTTCATATCCGATTGTTCTTTTCTAGCCTTGTTGAAATCGATAACAAACTGAGTGGCTGCTAGGATGGCCTGCTGAGCTTGGATGAACAATGGCCATGCCTGCTCACAGTTAGAAAGGGGCAACACGCGGGAGTTCAGTATCATACATCTGGATCAGCCTTGATCATAGGATATTTAGCCGTGAAGCTAGAAGCGAAGACTTCGAACGTCGGAGGCTAGCGAATATTCGTGAGCGCATAAATCATATCTCCAAGACAATCCGCGGACGTACTGTATTGCTAACAATTGATCCTTGGCAGACGCAGATATACGTCATCCACCATGTGCGACGTCGTGCTTCTGAGTACTCATCCTCCTCGTCGCTGTTTATATGGAGCATTTGGGACATGGCAGATACTAGGGCCGCTCCGACCCTAGCCCGCATCTTCTTCAGGTTTCCGCGCTGCGCATATTCGTAGACGCTGAGAAGATCAAGAGCGATGATACTTTCCAACTCTAGAGGAACTTGTGAATGAAACTTTTCTCTAAAAATTCCGTCGTCTGAGTCATCCAGAGCCCTCGGTGGCGAAACAGATGATTCCGGTCGTTCCGTCTCGGTTTCGATACCCTCTAATGCTGCTTTTGCGAAAAACTGCGAATACGTGCGTCTCCAACGAATAGACTCTGGCTCGAGTGGGTTTGGATCCTGGGGACATGGGATGAGGGCTAAGATCGCGGAGATAGCCAAACTGATAGCCGAAGATGGCTCCTCAAACTTGTCTCTCTGGTTTTCGAATAGGGGCGAGACCTGGTCCAGTCCCGGCGTCGTCTCCGGGGGAGGTAAAATTGGGAAATACGGATGAATCCAAATGTAATAGGCATTTAATCTTGGGGGCGGTCAGTCGAAAAGTCCGAGAAATGGTAACACAACTCACATGGCCCGATCATCCCCTCCGTAGGTTCTAACCATCGGAATCCTAATATTGGGCATTGGAGTCGGTAGGGCATCTTGAAATAGATTATCATATATGGCGTCGCTATCTTTCCAGATATCTGCAAGAGGCTTAAGGCCAGCGCCAGGATCTATATAGTTCTCGAGAAGAAGTGCTTAACCTCGGTCAGCATTGGTATGCATCTGGGTCAGTCGGCAGAGATTCTCACCATCTTGAGGGATTTCTTCTTGATGGGTAGGTAGCGAGATAGCTAGATCGTGATAGTCCGAGAGTGGTCGGGCCTTCTTCCGAATGCGCGGACCTCCTCGCCTGCTGGGTTTATAGACACATTCGCGGTCTTTTGTTACACACTGGATTGTTTAACTAGTTAGTGTCTCACACTTGATTCTTGTATGCTTCTATTTAGAACGAGACATGAACTAAGGAGTTAAGAGTTAAGCGTACACTTGCGCATGGATGCTCGCCGTTGCATCGCGTCCTCGACGCGCGACTTCAATTGCCGTTAGCATGTTCCCTAATAACGTTGGTGACTAGGAGTTGATGCCAAAGGATGGCGCAATGCTCAGGCGCTACGACTTACCAGGATAGACAGGCGTTCTTGACGGGAGGGATCGCAAATTTCTTCCTGGGCACGGATGCCTGAGTGGTCAATCTTTGGACCCCATTCTGACCGTCGCCCTCGGACATCGTCATAGTGGTGGTGGTGGTTGGAACCTAGCGGACAACCCCAAGGCTGTTAGGTAATTGAATCTATAAATCGATGGGTGAATAGCCGTTTTAGTAACGAAGTTAACCGGCGGTGGAGATGCTCAGACAAGGAGGCGACTTCTGATTGACCAGATTTAGACGGGCAGTCTTTTAAATTTCACCTTGTCGCTTAGGATTTCTAATGTTAGCTTAAAAGCAGAAAGCGGGGTAAATGGCTGGTAGCCTGGTTCTGATTAAGGGTCCAATTTCTCCAGGATGAGCTATGGCCGTATGGAAAATAGACTAGGCATCGAAAGGTAAAGAGAAATTTACTAGTTTAGGAATGATGCGGTTCGATGGAGGGGGTTTTATGAATTGAAGGCAGCCACGTCTATCTAGCCTGTCGCTGTAACATCATAAGACATCTGCATGGACTTTCCCCCGATAAGATCTGGTATGTATGTATGTATGTATGTATGTATGTAGGTATGTATGTATGTGGTATGTGGTATGTATCAGTTTTTTCAAGGGAGGGTGGCAGTGCCACCGTGGTGGCTCTCCGTTGCAAAATGTTCTTGCCTTGTCCGTCTGTCTGTCCGGATCCTACTAGGATACTATCAGTTAGTGCACTAATATACACTATAGTGGATATGCTAACTTTCACTAACAATGCATCCGAACATGTACAGAAAACAGCCCCGGCCCGTCCCGCTTAGGCCATCAAATTTTATCCACGCAATCACCTTCTTCCCCTTGGCCCTTGGCCCTTGACCGGTTACTTGAGTTTAACTGACATGTAATTTTTGTTGTGTATTTTTGTAGCCAACCCCCTTCGCCGAATAGCTTTCCCGATTCTTTACTGATTGCGTACATTTATTCCCGTGTCTTATGCGCCGGTTCTACGAATCAAGCCCGGAAAACCCCTCCTCCATTGGGTAATCAGCACCACGCCATTAATGATAATCCTCGTACGTTTACGGACATAAATAGCCAAAGTCGGCGGTGACATAGGCCCCAACGACCTCCGCCGAGACCCAATTGTTCAATCGCCATCTTAGCGATAAATCCGCTGGGGGCGAGTGGAGAGAAGGCCAATCAGGACGGTATATCAAGATCGGAGATATGATACTTCGTACATAGGTACCTACATACCTAGACTGATAGCATTGCTACATGTACGAGTATGTAGCGCCACTAATCAACCTAGCCCCTAACTCCTATTATATTTCATAGCAACCTGTAGATTCGGCATACAAACCCCAGTACCCCAGAATTGGGGATGTCAAAGCTCGTCTAAAAAAAACTTCGATTGCTTAAGCCCTACAATCACTTGTACGCAAGGGAGCGTAACAGAACCCATATTATATCCCTTGCTTCGCCGGCGACATCGGACATAATCGATACGTCCCTGTCAGGGTGGTCTGATGAAAACCAATCTCTAATTCTCATACGCTACCTAATAGGTCAATCCGTTGACCAAACGTACAGATGCTATGTATGTTTGTGCATACGATGGCCCCATTGTTCGTGAATCTCCCTATGTAGCAAACCCTTTAGCTCCCATCTCCACCCAAGAATAGATACCGTGTCCCAGGAATTGGTATCTACAAGATGTGGATGATCGTTTCATTATTTGCTTGATTGGCGGGGGTAATTGGATTACATGCCAAACTCATCACTACCGGTTGTCGAGGTACTTCCTGATCTCGAGTTTTTCCCACGCCTGTCCTTCTCGCGGCGCGGCGGCATATGACCTGGAATTGTCTCGCGCGGCATCCCGAGCGCACGCCCTGGGGCTCCCGGCCCATCCATAGGAGGACCGCCCAACCCCCCGGGAGGCAACGGCCATCCAGGTGGTGGGCCTCGCGGCCCTGGAGGCTCTGGCGGCCTTGGTAGATCCTCTGGCGGGAGAATTTGCTATGCATTGTTAGCTACTACGATATTGTCTATTACTCAGGCCGATCTTACCATCTCTCGGGCACCGCCCTCATCGAGGTCGACATTCTGGCGGCTTCGCACTTGAAATAGCCAAGGCATAAGCCAGTGGAAGAATGGTGCAATTGCCAGAAAGCAGGTCGGTAGCCATATCACCATCGAGGCTTCTATGGCCATGAGTGACAAACGGAATGTCGATTCCTTCGATTCATCTGGTGTTGACAGCGAGCTTATGGCGAACAGTACAATCCACGCAACAGTGATCACGATCTCTGGTATGACCAACCATATCGACCAGTGATGCCTAAGGAAAAGCGCGAAAATGCTCCAAAAGCTAGCTAAGGCAACTTCGGCAATCGTATAGAAGATGAGCCAAAATACGGGGACCGAAGACGTGAAGACGTAGAGAATCAATACTAAGAGGGCGATGAAGCATTGCGATGATCGGAGAATCGTGATGAGCGAGTTGCTGTCGTAGCCGGATGGCTTATTTTCGCCGTTGATTCTTGAGTCGATGGTGAAATTTGTATCTCTGGGGCTTTTAAACCAGCCATCCCTTCCCTTCAGGTCCTGAGAAGGTAAGCACCACCAGCATCTTGCCCTCTGTTTCGGTGCGGATGCGGGCATTGGCATTGGCCCCGGCATCGGCATTGGTCCCCTCATCATCGAGTGGGGATCGCTTGGCGGAAGTATGGCGTATTGAGGTTATTATGCTGTAGAATATGCTGGTTTCTGGTTTGGATATTGAGGCTCGAAGAAATTCATTGCGAGCTCTTCCTACTGATAGATTTATATGTCTGTCGGTAGAGCAATGTGAAACCATCAGTATACCGTGAATAATCTAACATGCTTAGTGAAAGAAAACGCTAGCATTGAATAAACGGGTTCAGTATTGGTGAATCACGAATGGCCAAGTCACAAATGTCATATACGGCAATTGGGTATAGTCATGGAAGATTCAACAGTCCAATATAAATGTCTGAGTAACGACCATCCGAATTCAATCGGAATAGCCTCGTTATAAACTAGTACCTTGAGACACTATTCCGAAATCATTTCTATTCTTCTAGATGTATAGCATACCTAAATCCTACTACTCTCAACACCGCAAGAAGCTAGAAATCATGATAGCCTGAAAGTATAATATACCGGGTTAGATAGGTAGAGGTAGGTAGGTAGATACCGATATTATTGACATATGCCGGAAAAGTAGCAATCATCAATTCTCATATTTTCTCTCCTATGGTCTAATAGTTGCTAGGTAGGCCATAGTCAGGTTATTCCTAACTATTGAAATCAAGAAAAGAGTATCGAATATCAGCTTTATACAGTGCGCAACTACAATATCCCTAGTGGTTTGACTGTTAGGATATAATAGGGGTACCCCATCAGATAGCCGCTGGATGCTAGGTCTCTATAAGGAGGCTATTTCTCCCTATGCTTCGGAGGGCATGGGTCAATACAGCTGCCAATACACCACTATATTAGTAGCTACATGGAGATCCTGCCTCTCACTCCATGCAACACGACTCCCTGGCATTGGCATAAATGATACGTAGTATTCCCATAACCTTTTCTTCTCTCTCTACGGAAAGTATAAGTCAGATACCTAGGAATATAGCCCTCAGTATACTTCCAAAGTCACTATATGTCAGGGTATAAGTGGGTTAGGGGTCGCTACAGGGGTCTATCTACTATATAAGAGGCGCGCAGCGCCCTCGTAAGAGGATAGAAGGCCAGGCGTTACTAGTTCAATACTATCTACTACCTGATCTACCTATCCTAGGCACTAACTCTGTGTACGACAACCATCAAAGGGTATAAATCCTGACACTATATGTTTTGACGGAAAGTCGGTGTATTATTTTCACCATATAGTATATGTCAAGATTCTAGATAAGACATCTAAACAAAGGATATGTTTAATAGTATGTATAGCCATAAGCTCCCGTAGTTAGGTTGGAGTTTCTCGCGGAACAACGAAGTCGTTTCCATGCTGTTTTTTCATAATTAAGTGAACTTCAATCAAAAGCTTATTGAAGCTCACCTTATATCAAGTAAACAGATGGTTAATTGGTTTCCTTGCACAACTGTGGATGTATGCCCTAGGTTTACGAAGGGTTATTCTCTTTACAAAATTTTATACTTTTTATAACTTATAAATGTATTAATCTCGTTAGCTCCAGCACCATGTACACATATCACATCACGAAACATTAGGAAATACTTTCTCTCCAACAGTGGTGTTGGATCTTTCACATTATCGCCGACCATGTCCCGAGCAGGTGTCGAGGGCGACGAGATGGGAGGGGCTGTACTTGATCTATTTCATATGATGTATTTTAAGCGATTCGACGATGGGACATCTGACACTAAGCGGGAGTCTGAGAAATCACGGTTTCGGTTTCTCAAACAAATAAAGAGAAACACCCCATGTGTCTCCGCCCTGATAAGCAAACAGTTCCGAGCACGCCATGTGGAAGATCTGCCATCTGTTATACCACATCCCAGCATTCTCCTTGCCGTACGCCTCCTCCAAATGCGGCCATATCTGCATCTTCTTGGCTATCATGTTTGCAAGCCAGTGCTTCGTTCATTTTCAGCCTACGTCCATGGCACATCCAGGGTAGCAAGGGGAGGTATAGAATTTCCAACTCACCTCGCAAGTTTTCGAATAATGCATGCCATTGACCCACCATTGCCTCTCGATTTTGAGATCTTTCTGAAAATATAATAGTAGATCTGCTGAAGGCATAGTGCCGCCAGTGAAGAAATTGGTACTTATCCAGTCATTCTCAAAGTTGTACGGCGAGGTCTTGTGCGAGAAGATGTGCACGAAGAGCTTGCCATCCGGCTTTAAGGCTCTTGCCACTTTGGCCATAAGTAGCTCATAATTTTTCATATGTTCGAAGAGCTTCCCAAAAGTCAGCCTAAATATAAATGTAGTTTCTCGACGCGACTGGAAAAACTGGCTGGGCCACTTACCTCTACAGAGATTATCCGGTCGAAACTATTGGCCTCAAATTCATAATCTACGATATCGCCCGTGATGACAGTCAAATTGGTGAAGCCCTTCTCCTGGGCCCTGTCATCGATGTACTTCTTCTGACTCTGCGAGTTCGAAAAGGCCGTGATCTTGGACTTGGGTAGCATCTCGGCCAGGTAGAGGGTTTCGGAGCCTCAACCACATCTGCGACGAGCACACGCCGTCAACAACACGGCTCACTGCCACTAGCCCACACATCACATATCGCACACCACACACGTAGTACAACTAAAGAGAGGATAACTCACCCGAGATCAAGTATACTCATGCCGTCCTGGAGCGCCGCCTTCTCGACGTACGACGCCAGCATGGCAGCCTCCGCCTGGGCCAGCGTCTCGCGGCCCTCGGGGAACAGGCAGCCGCTGTACTTCATGCGCGGGTCGAGCATGGCGGCCAGCACGCCGGTGCCGACCTCGTAGTGCTGCGCGTTAGCCGTGCCCGTCTCGACGGCCATGGGCCCCGCCCGCAGTGCCTCGATGAAGGCCATCTTGCGTTCCAGCGCCGCCGCCGCCAGTGTCGGCTCCGTCTGCGCCGCCTACTTCTGCCGCTGCGCTAGCTGAAGCCGGATTCCCACCCGGATCACGGCGTGCGGCAGGTAGCCCGAGTCGAGGATCCAGCCTGCTGCATTGCTATTGGAATGGCTCGGGTGTTGGGGCGAGTGCTTGGGACAGTGATGGTGTGTAGCGGTATGTTATGACGGAAAGGGGCTAGAGCATCTACACACCTATGTTCATGATGGTCGAGGGGTTGGTTCAAGGCTGTATCTATCCTAAACCTGACTTAAAACATCTACTACACAAATAGAAGTTTACGGCTGATTCTTTTGGACTTTGCGTTTTATCAAGGCAACTCAAGCTCTTGCTTCTGTAATGGGTCATGGCCTCGCGCATACTACAAAGTGAGATCGTATCGAAAGTTTATACGTCGCCACCAATTCGCGCCACCGATTCACACCATGTATTCGCACCGCCGATTTACACCACCTCCGGCTTTAGCAGAATCGCCGATTACAGGCCTAGCGAGTACCCGGTCCCACCCGCCGGGCCTTTGAACTGGCGTTTCCGGCTAAGACCATGTGTGCGTTTTGACGGTCACTACAGACGGAAGACAGGTCACTCACGATGGGAGTATTGATCACACGCTGAAATGCAGCACTGCATCAATCTGACAGAACCTTAGACTTGTTAGACGTGCAAAAAATAAAATAAAAAACGAGGCGATACCCCGCCAGGAAGAGCCAACAATGGAAACGTCCAATATTGACCTTCAATTTCAACGCTAAGAACTCTATCATGTCTGTGGGTGCTATCACAACTGCTGGTGGTGCGAGCTGGCGGGATGTCGCAGCTGATCGGCAACGGCATCGAGACGCTACCATCGCAGAGCTTCGCCCTCCGCTGCCCGTATTACTAGCTAATGATATACCACTCAACACCACGAGCATCCCAGATGGAATATTGACCGACGAAGAGCGCGCCATCACGGGCGCCAACGTCGAGGACCTCCTCGTGAAGCTAGCAGCGGGGGAATGGAGCTCTACCGCCGTCGTCCAGGCCTTTATGCGCCGCGCCGGTCTAGCCCAAAAACTGGTAAATTGCGTGACCGAGCTGCTCCCGGACCGGGCCCTCAGACGGGCAGCCGAGCTCGACGAGTATCTGGCCACCCATAAGAAGCCCATTGGTCCGCTCCACGGCCTGCCGATCAGCGTCAAAGAACATATCGGCATGAAGGGTCTTGACTTGAATAGCGCATTCATTGGTAGCGTTAGCAACATAGCCGAAAAAGACTCAGTGTTGCTAGAGCCGCTTTGGAATGCTGGCGCAGTCTTTTATGTAAGAACAACTGAACCGCAGACTATGATGCATCTTGAAACTTGCAGTAATTTACATGGGTAAGTACCTAAGCTATTAAATAAACTGATATTGATCCTCCTCTCCTGCAAACTATGTTATAAGTCAACTAGTTAACCTACAACTAGGGAGACGGTTAACCCGTACAATACTACATTAACACCTGGAGGCTCCTCGGGCGGAGAGGGTGCTCTTATATGACTACGGGGATCAGTACTCGGGATTGGATCGGATATTAGAGGTTCTATTCGCTCGCCCGCAGCCGCAGTCGGCATATTTGGCTTCAAACCAACTTCCGGCCGCATTGCCACGAAAGGGTGGTTTCCATTATGCTTGGAGCTGAACACATCATGTCAACCAACGGGCCAATGTCTACTAGTCTGGACGGCCTGAAAATCTTCGTCAAGATCGTCGTAAATGGCAAGACGTGGCTCAAAGTTCCAAGTGTGGTGCCAATGGAGTGGAGGGACATTTCGTCCTACTTTCCCGACAGAAAACTTAAAGTTGGCGTTCTCTGGGACGATGGCGTCGTCAAGCCGCATCCACCTATAAATAGAGCCATGACAGATCTCGTTGAGAAGTTGAAAAATAATGGGAATGTCGAACTTGTAGACTGGAAGCCCTGGAAACATGATCTAGCGTGGGAGATCATTGTAAGTCTGCATCCTAAATGGCTATCTCTGGGTAATATTAACTGTATACAGGCGTCTCTATACTTTGCCGATGGCGGTAAAGAAGAAATAAGCTATGTCGAATCTTCAGGAGAACCTTTCCACCCTTTATCTAAATGGATCATTCAAGACAACCCGCATGTGAAAGAGCACGCCGTCCGATCTCTGTGGGACAGGGTCATCCAGAGGGATGGGTACCGGGCAGATTACGTCGCGTTATGGAACGAGACCGCCAAGGCGACTTCGGATGGTAAGATGGTCGACGTCATCCTGTGCCCCGCGGCTCCAGGCGTAGCTGCGAAGCTGAATACGTCGAAGTACTGGGGCTACACCTCCCAGTGGAACTTGCTTGACTATCCGGCCGTCGTGTTCCCAGTTCAAGACCAAGTTAGTGTAGAGAAAGATGCCCCCTACGCTTATCCGGGAGACTATAAACCAAAGAGCGCGAGCGATGCGTATAATTGGAATCTTTGGAGGGAACACGGGTCTGAAGGTTACCGGGACGCCCCGATTTGTCTTCAACTGGCGGGCAGGAGGTAAGTTCCGAACTTGCACGGGAAATGACTCGAGATAATTGCTGACTGAAATCAAAGATTCAATGACGAGAGCTTATTAGAGGCACTAGAGATTATCCTTCAAGAAGCTGGGTTGCCAACTACATGTTGATCTGTAATGAGACTGCGGGGATGATATCTGACGCTGAGATATACCAATATATGGCACAACATCAGTAGTAGTATTCAGTGCACTCATACGTCTCAAGCCGTGATAAGCAGCTTAATTTCCTAGTTTGTAAGAAAGGTTCTGTACTGCCAGGTGCGTCAATCTGGCGGGCCGAGACAGCAAGTGCTGGCATTCAGGGCAACATCTACAAGGTCGAAATCATTGACTTAACTGTCTCACTCCCCTGTCCCGTATCTGGGCAAATCATCCAATGTGGAAGGCTATGCGAAAGTTGCCCAATTAATGGCCAAATACGAGGAGTTTGCTATCTTGCGAGGGTTTAGGCGGCTCAATTACCAGAATCTACTCTATTTGCAAGCTCAGATTATTCATCTTAAGGAGAGCCTTGGCAGGGTTGTAGAACAGGACGCTATTGATCCCGAGCGGAAAGAGTATCTCCGAGATTGGTTGAGGCTGGCTCACGGAGAAAAAGGGGTCGGAAGAGCGCAGTGACGTAAAATACGCTGCATAGGTACCTAAGGAAGAAGCTAAAAGAATACAATAAGAGGACTCATCCTTATCTAAGCAAAAAAGGGGCATCTCATAATAACTTGCCAGATGAGGCTCTGTTCCAATAGGTTTACATATCGAAGCTTGAAGGTCCAAATCCGAATGACCTCGAATTCCTACGTAGTTGGTTTGAAAGACCTTCTATGGGATGCTTTCCGATAAGGGGAATCGATTTCAAGGCTTGGGAGCAGAGATCTGAAAACGACCTAGTCGCCGTAAAGCCTCGAGTACTATCGGGTCCGCTTTCCTGGTGGATTACGAACATCGTGTTCCCTTTATATCATCGCATATTCGGCGTGAAATTTGGGGTAAGAAAGTCTCAAAGTCCACGGAGCAGGTTGCCAGCCTCGCTAACGCGTACCAAACATACAAGATAGCCGACTCGAATGAAGTGGGAGACGGGCTATACACATACGAAGAATCATTGATTAGTTCCGTCATCAATATTATCACAACCGTTGTTGCGGCCGTGTTGCCCCTCTCGTCGATCGTGGTGTTATTTTTGGTGAAATCCGAGTCGACCAGGCTGGGGATTCTCATAATCTCCTCTGCCTGCTTTGCGCTCGTGCTCGCGCTCATGACCAATGCAAGACGGATAGAGGTGTTTGCAGCAACGGCTGCGTAAGTATTGCCAGATGACTAGTCTATTATACATTGTCATACTAACGTATCTCGTCTAGATATGCTGCCGTAAATGTTGTTTTTCTGAGCAATAACTAAATCCTTCTGCTCTACAAAGGGTACTACGTGACCATTGTGGTCACTATTTGGGTAGCATCAGCGTCAAGCTTATCCTTGCCCCGCAGAGAGCCTCATACGTTACCTAAGCTGTCTTATTATCTATCTGCTGACATCTGGACTATCAGTTCCTTCGCTTCTCTCTTTTCAACGTTCGTATTTTTATGATCCAAGATTTTTTATGTATCTATATTAGCTATCTAAGGTTATCATAGCTACATGTTATATCTATATTCGTTTGGAGTTAGTATAAACTATGTAGGCGACGAGACAAGTATAATTGGACCTTGTGAGTTTTTGGATACACTTTATTGCACTACTCAATGACTGCTGACATGTGATGGTATTTAATTAAACTCGTAGTTTGTGGCAATACTTTGGGAAACGTTTCCTAGACATTTACTATCTTACTATGGCACACTTGGATACTTGAGTTGATACATGAATATCTTTTACGAGTAAGACACTTTTTCGTAGTCTGTACTATTTGAGTAGGTAGAAGAGTATACCCTGTATTAGTGAGATTCGCCAATTAATTGCCAGTTCTATAAATACCTAACTGACTGGTCATTAGTGCCTTTCATGTTTCATACAAATAAAGCAAAAACCTGAAGAATACCTAGGGATAAGACATAAAGTTAGGTTAGTTTGTATCATAACTACGTTTATCTCAGTGAACTCAAACCAGTGACGCGAACTTCGTTGTACCCCTCCCGCCACACCTTTTTTTAACCAATCACATCCCTAACCTACCCCCCCCCACAAATTTCGCATCTTTGGTTTAAGGTAACTCGGGCGATTTTTACCATATTAAATTATTTAATATTAAAAATAATATTAAAAATAATAGTATTAATGCGTTAAAAGTAAGTTTTAATTAATTTAAAATATTTATTAATTTTATTATTAATAAATATATACGTTTTAAATGTTTTCGGGTGTTAAAAGTAGTTTGTATTAACTGTAATACCGGTCGTAACACCGGTCGCAACACTGGTCGTAACGTTTTTAAAAATATATCATTAATTTAAACGTTAAAGTTTATTATATTATAACGCAATACCGTATAAACATGTAAAATAATATAAAAGCTTAAATAATTAAATTATTAACTTTAAATAAAAAAAAAATAAACTATTTTATACGTGGTTATAAATGTAAACATGTAAATGTAAATGTAATATAACATTTTTAATGTTATTACGTATGTTTTTAAACGTTAAAACTTATAATATTATAACGTAATGCCGTATAAATATATAAAAAAATTAAAAAGGTAAAAAAAGTATAATATTAACTTTAAATTATAAAAATAAAAGCTATTTTATACGTTATTATTAAATATAAAGTTATTATAAATATAAAGTTTAATTTTTAAAAAAACCTGTTTTAACGTGGCCAAAAACGCCCAAGTTATTTTAAACTAAAATTCGTCAAAACTCGCACCTATAACCCATAAATATAATGACACGGGCCAGGCGTTTGTGTGGCGCTTGTGGCGCCGGGTGTTGGCGGGCGCAACCCGCCAATTCAACGAATTCTAGTCTAAGTTTACTGAGATAAAACTACGTCATGTGTCATTGACTGGGGCCTGGTGATAGTACGGGAGTTAAAGAATAGCCGTGCGGTCCCATTTTTATCTTATAAGAGAGATGAGCCTCGGCCAAGCGTTTTATCAGATCAAGCCGGAAATATTCGTTTTAACAATAGATCTTGTGATATAAGAATAATCTTATCTTTAGAGCGGGATCTTGCCGGGAGACGGTCGGTAATTTCGCCATTTGCGCATATGTACGAAAACGCTCTAAATGCCTACACCTACATATCTCCGAATAGAGACTTGAAGTAAAGGCTACCTAATTACTATTTCTTACCTTTGGTAATAATTACGGCTTGAATCTCACCTGTACTCCCCTGACCTTCTCGAATTCTTACCTACCTACGTAATATACTACCGGCCTATGATGCATCAAGGTCTTTCGAAAGATAATTGTTTATGAGGAGGACCAGTTAAGAATGCGCTGCTATTCGCTTCGCACCCCTCCTGTGCGACGTTTCTCCGCCCAGACTATTGTAGGACTTCAGCCAGGACGCCACATATGCACCCGATGCTTGATAACGAGGGCGGGTGAAAGCCGACGAAACACGATCAGTTATTCTGTAGCCAGTCATAAGCCATCGTCCGCCATCTTGACATGGCCCGCTTTCTTGCCAAGCGCATCTAGACGATTTGCGACGGTTGCGACACCCTCCTTAGAGAATGGTTAGAACACCAATTTAGTCTTCACCTGCTTCCATTTCTAAATCTTTGATATAGCTCACGTACCCGATAATCATGGCCCGATTCAAGAATACGATCGGCGAGTGCAGGAAGGGCGGCTCCGAGAGGACCAGCACCAACGCGGGATTATCCAGAATTTGCAAAATCTGCACGACGAACTAGTTCATTACCGAGCGCAACCCGTTGTGCGCCTGAGCTTCGAGACTCTAAAGCCGACCAAATCATTATTTTCGTGGTTCGGACCGAAGCCGGCCACTAGAGCCAAACAAGAGATTCCAGCCAATCTGCCGCGAGGATTATATTTGTACGGCGACGTCGGGAGCGGGAAGACGATGTTGATGGACCTCTTCTACGACACATTACCCCGTTCCGTCCAATCTAAGACTAGAATACATTTCCATAATTTCATGCAGGATGTGCACAAGAGGTTGCATAAGATGAAGATGACGCACGGAAACGATATAGACGCAGTCCCGTTTGTATCAGCAGATATCGCAGAGAAGGCGAATGTTCTGTGTTTCGACGAGTTTCAGTGCACCGATGTAGCTGATGCGATGATACTTCGAAGGCTTCTAGAGTCACTAATGTCCCACGGAGTTGTTCTCGTGACGACATCAAACCGACATCCGGATGAGTTATATAAAAACGGGATTCAGCGCGAATCCTTTATTCCGGCGATCCACCTTCTTAAGTCGCGGCTGCATGTCATCAATCTCAACTCCCCCATCGATTACCGCAAAATCCCGCGACCGCCGTCCGGGGTCTACCACACGCCGCTCGACAATCAGGCGGCATTGCACATAGAGAAGTGGCTCCGGTTTCTTGGCGATCCCGATGCGTCTGAACCTCACCCAGAAACACAAAAGGTCTGGGGTCGCGAAATCTACGTTCCAAGAGTCAGCGGTCGCTGCGCTTGGTTCACCTTCCAAGAACTGATCGGCCGTGCGACAGGCGCGGCTGACTACCTCGAGCTGATGCGCTGCTACGATGCGTTCATCATCTCCGACGTGCCCGGCATGACATTCCGGGAGCGCGATCTTGCGAGACGGTTTATTACTTTTATAGACGCTGTCTACGAATCCCGTGCTAAGCTCGTCCTCACTACGGCCGTTCCTTTAACGGAATTATTCATCTCACCCCAGGAATTACGGGAGTCCCTGAAAAGAGATGGAAAGCCCGTAGACGACGACGATGACGAATCGACTAGCCATGCCATGCAACATATGCTCGAGGACGTGGACAGTAACATTGACCAGTTGAAAAGCTCGAGTCTGTTCTCTGGTGATGAAGAGCGCTTTGCATTTGCGCGGGCGCTATCCAGACTGAGTGAGATGTCTAGTAAAGAGTGGGTTGAGCGCGGTATGGGTCTAGAAAGTTCGGGGGGCAAAAAGGAGAGGGACGGTTGGGCAAAGGCCCGTAGTCGACAGATGGAGGATAGTATGTGATGCGATACGGATTAGACAAGAGCTTGTCCTACTGCACACTAGCATGGTTTGGCGTTTATTCTTGGCTCGACGGTTTGTTACGGGACGCATAGAATGGCGAGTGGGCTACAGTTTTGTGGCTAGAGGGCTTGATACCTAGGTACTTGCATCGTAGAAGGCACTTATTGCTACATACATAGATTTTGTGCTGACCTGATATACGAGATCATGGAATCCGCTGGGCTGTGCTTCATTAGTCTATCTACCTATGTTTATTGTTTGCGGGCTATGATAGGTTTTTATCTTGGTTCGGGCGTACGGTAGTAGTACAATGTGTTAGCTGATTGGCGATGTTCGAGGTTAGTGCATACATGCATATCCTAAAAATACATGTATCTATTTAGGAGTTGTGTAACGTAGAGGTATACGATAACTTGTGCGACTGTTCTTTACATAATCGATGAACGATCCGAGGTTTCACTCATGCCGTGTTTGCCCTCGTTACACAACATCTGCTGGGAACCTACGCCGTACAATTGCTTGATAATGCCGACTTACTATAGATTCATGTACATACATGCACGCGACGCGCCGACGTTAGGACGTCCAATTTCGTGGTTCAGTGCGCCGCAAACTTACATCAAGAGAACATGGACCCGGCATAGTCGGGCAAATTCCCGCTGGGAGCTCGACCGAAGGACCGTGACAACCATGGAGGAACGTTGAGATTAACCAGGGTCTGGGGAGACGATTTGGTTTAGGGGATGGCCTAGACTCGAGCGGAATTTGATGTTCTTTTTACATTCAATGCAATACCCCCTAAGGACGTACACTAGGTTAAACAGTTAGCTATTGCTACTTGTAAATAGTTTCTAATATTTATATATATAGATGTCTGATTGAAGTCGTGGTAATTTGTATGAAGAACTAGCGAAACTTCTTTACTACCTACGTTGGAGTACTTTAGGTACATATGGTTATATGTTAGAACTTCCAATATAGATGCGGTGAGCTACCATATTGCTATGTAGATCAGGGGCTGCTACCACATGTTCATGTTCATGTTCATCCGTACCTTTCATAGGTGCATCCCCTATGTGCTATAGTTGTATGCATCTCGGCTGATAGATAATCTTACAGGGAGCTCTAATCCCAAGCGGCAATTTCTAGCGTAGGATTCTAACCAATGCAAATTTCGATTGGAACAAGCCGAGAAGTCACCCCTGCTAGATCCTTCAAATGGGAAAGAAATATGCAGGTATCGTAAAGCTCTCTATTCATGACTTGCATGAGCTTATCACCATGATATCATTCTTGATCGTTAGGAAGTGCTTATAAAGTTCCGCGCCATTGCCAGTTCAAGACATTAAGTTATCCGTCTGATTTGGAAACACTGTTTCTTCAGCGCTAATGACCCTTTTTCACGATGTAAGTGTGGGGGTGGCTTCTTTTAGCTGCGGAGCCTCATCGGGAAAGACGCTGTAAGACGGCACCTACATGAGGTAATAACTATAAATCTGTCCGAATGTTTAAAACCTTGATGATGTCAATTAGGTAGGTATAGATAGCTATCTAGATAGGTAGCTATTATAAAGCAATGTTAGATAGCCTATAAACATATAAATAGTGGTTAGGGTGGGTAGGATGTGGAAGGAGATGAGATAAATGAGAAAAGTCATGTGAAACCTTGCAGATAGTTACTGGGTGGCAGATGGTTGGCTATTTGGACCAATCAGGTCTTTGAAATATACGCTACTCCCATGTTATAGGAAATCTAGATGCCCCAACTACAGAATAGTGTACTATAGTACCCGCCGGGGATATTACACTACAAGACGGATGAGTTAATCTTAGGTAGTTGCCTAGGCGGGACCTTCCCATGTCGGTGCTAGTGGGGTGCAATCATTTGCGAAGATCATTTGCAAAGACGGTTTGTTCCTTCCCACCAAAGAAGAGAAGTTTGTTGCTAGTCGGCTGCCAACCCGGCTTCTGCTAGGTCCACCCTTACTCATAGTGTACAGCTGCCACATCAAAAAGGGGAGAATTCCGTCATTCTTCTTAGTGGAGTCCAGTTTTTAATCCAGTATCCAGCTTTAATGCCTGGCATTTCATACCACCTCCACTCTCTCAAGTTTGTCTTGGCCTTTCCAGGGCTGCGTTCCTTTTCCTCTCCTTTTCTTTCTGTTGGCGTTTCCTACGATACATAATCTTTATTTTTCTTCAGTCTATCGTGTGACTATACGTAATGCTGAAAGAACAACAAGGCGTGCGACTTACTTGTGGACCTAAACGCGAAGGATAACGTGCGCGACACAATCGTTTTCGGTCCCATTTCTCATAACTAGGATGGGCGCGATAAAAAATACTCTTTCCTTAATTCCCTCTTTTCGGTTCTCGGGGTCCAAATCAGTCTACGAGGTGCTGCCTTCGCACGATTCAAGCCATGCTAGTTCGCCCTTAGACGGATCGCCCATCATGTCGGATACTTGGCGCAAAGGGTTCTCAACACCCCGTCGGCGACTGGGTGGTTTACTTCGCACGTCACCAAAGAAGTTGTTCTTTTTCACAATCGCTATTTTTTTCACGTTTGTTTTACTTGCCGGAGGAAGCTTTCGAGCTAGGCGCTATTACGTCGAGAAGACTAAGACAGAAGAGAGAATCCCCTATCACTGGGAAAAATACCCCAGGTAAGAAGTCATGCAGTCTATGTCTTGGAAGTATCTCAAAGGAGGCAACAATAGTTCTAACACGTACCTTCAGGTTAAGTGGGTTTTACAATGGTGTGCGCTCGCTTGTGAACTACACCGACTGGATTCCGGAACAGCAAGTCACAGAGAAAACTAAACCTCTAATTCACAAAACCCCTCCTATGGACCCGGTTGTTGTTAATCCGTATCCCGACTTCAGCTCCAGCGAGTATCTTAAGGATCACCAGCCTGTGCAAAGATGTTATGTGGATGAAAATGAGAAGTTCCCGGCACCTGATATCTTCGCATATCCCGGTATACCTGCTGGGATGCCTGCCCCGTTCTGGGGATCGTACGAGAGTATCGGGGTTGCGCCAGATAAGTGCTGGGAACGATTTGGTCGGTTCGGTCCTTACGGTTATAGCTACAATCCCGCCGAAGGGGGGTTAGGATTGTCGAATAATTCAGCGCATGCAGGTGCTGAGAAGATCCAAGAGATGTTTACCAAGGTTGATTATCGCAATGTGAATTGGGGCAGAGCGCAGAAAAAGTGCTTTGAAAAAAACCAGAAACGATTTGATCCTGAAGCGGCACGTAGCGACGGCTCCAGTGAAGACAAGAAAGTAGTCAAGCGCTCTGCTTATGTACTACGAACCTGGACTGGCTACCAGTACACCGACATCCAACTCTTGTCTCTACGAGCTATGATCAACGAACTATCCCTAAAATCCGGCGGTGAATATGACGTACATCTCCTTGTTCATGTCAAAGACAACTCGATACCCATCTGGGCGTCCGATGAGGTTTACAACCAGACGATAAGGGACAATGTGCCTGAAGAATTCTGGGGCATTACAACACTGTGGTCGGAGCAGCAGATGCGAACATACTATCCCGGCCCGTTCCCTGAAGAAGACAACGTCGAGAATCATTCTAAGTCTGATATCCATGGTGTTTACCGAAGTGCTCATTTCGCCTTGCAGTGGTTTTCGCAGCAGCACCAAGAATACGATTTCTTTTGGAACTGGGAAATGGATCTAAGATATACCGGTCACTACTACGAGTTCCACAATGGTATTTCAAAGTGGGCAGCAGAACAGCCTCGAAAACTACTATGGGAGAGAAGTTCTCGATTCTGGATACCTGGTATTCATGGTTCGTGGTCCAAGTTTTCTCAACTAGTGGAACGAGAGACGATAGAGAGGAAAGAGGAACCAGTTTGGGGTCCTGTGACATTTCCCACTTCCGACCGTGGTATGCTCCCATCTCCTAAGGAGAACACGCCGCCGACGAAGATCGAAGATGATGATTATCGATGGGGTGTAGGTGAAGATGCGGACTTAATCGTCTTTGACCCATTATTTGATCCGGCAAAGACAAACTGGGTCTTCCGCAACGACGTGTCGGGATATAACACGTCCCTTGAGATACCGCCTCGCCGAGTAGCAATCATTACAGTTGCACGACTTTCGAGAGGGTTATTAAATACTATGCATGAGGAAACGTTCCGTTTGCACCACACCATGTTCCCAGAGATGTGGCCTCCAACGGTTGCTCTTCACCATGGATACAAAGCTGTTTACGCACCACACCCAGTTTACTTTGATAGACAATGGCCGCTCGATGTCATGGACAAAACTTTTAACTATCCACCCGCGCCGCAAGATAGCCCGTTTGGTTGGGGCGAGCACAACATGCAAGGTGGTAGTTTCTACTACAATGCCGGTTTCAGCGGTGCATTGTGGCGACGATGGTTCGGAGCTAAGGAGAATGGTGAGGGCGGAAAGAAGATGGAAGAATCTCGATCGGACCGTATGTGTCTAAGAGGAACGCTCTACCATCCGATAAAATCTGAGAGCATCGAATGAGCACGTTTATAGTTGTGGTTATCTAATTTTGGTGTATTGGCGTTCAGGAAAAGCCGAGTATAGGGCTTCTGATTTCACGAGAGCATTGAGGCATTTGCAAGGGGCGGTTTGTTTTCATCCATGGCATCATACAGCATTCGAGACTCCGGTCTCCTCTCCGCATATGGTTTATGGGGTTCTGATACCCGTTGATTTGTGGACGAACCCCCGTTTCTATTTTATTACCTTATTCATGAGAACAGATTCAAGCAGGCACCAGGATTGTCAAGATTGGATGTCGTGCAGTGCAGACGAGGGGCATACGAGGCTTGTATGAGAGAGCAGGTCGACAAGCCAACGAGGGCTGTCCACTCCTAATTGTATAATAGACCTTGCGACCAATGTTTAATACCCAAGACAATAATGCTGCAATGTTCCAATACTTCTCATTCTGAGCTCTTCAATCCTGTCTTAGTGATGCGTTTCAATACAGATTAGGAACGCCTATATCATTTGCAGTGAACACTATGAAATTATAATCCGTTTTATTGAATTATGATGAAATTCTAGCAGTCCATCATGCCCCTAATTGGCCTTTAGGTCTTATGCTCGATTATGTAACTCAGTTCATGATCACATGCACCCCTTTGCATATGTAATACATGCATGTACACACATAAGTTTTTGGCGCGTGCAGAAGTCTGGAGTAGGGGATACGTCATTTCCAGTACTGATAAGGTACCTGGTATATGGTCTGTGCCTCAGGGACAAGGGGATGCAACCCCAACTGCGTCAGCTTCCAGATTGGTCATCAGTCAGCTGTTGCTGTGCCAGCTCCAAAGTAACCAGTCATAGTCGACCTTCAATGCCTTCAATGCTACATTCCCCGAGTTGAAAGGGTTGGTCTAGGTATTTCATCTTCATATCATCGCTTTTTATTGCTTCAACAACATTTCATCAACCCAGCAGGACTGTCGATAAGCACGGATCCGCAACCATGAAGGCGTCTCTTATTGGATTTCTCCTGCCTGCGGCAGCGAGTGCTCGTTTCATCGAAGCGAGCGAGGCCAACCGCTTTCTCCCTACCGTAGATGCACTTCTAGAAGAAGTGGAAGCTCCGGAGCGATATCTTATCGAGCTGTCTCCTGGAAAGACAGCATGGGTAACTGAGGATGAGAAATGGCAGCTTCGTCGTGTACGTTTACCTCTCCCGACTTACAGATTCCAGTGTATTTGCAGCCACTAACAGGTCTACTATAGGAAGGACTACGGTTCATGGACATCACAGACAACATCGACCTCGCCGAGTTACGTGTTACCCCCCAAGAATCACCCGTATTCCCCGAGAAGGTCCAGCTCCAATCCGAAATCCATCCGCTGTTGAAGGACTTATCCAAGGACTTGCTCCAAGAACACCTCGAAAAGTTTTCGAGCTTCCATACCCGATACTACAAATCAGATTATGGCCGTCAGTCTTCTGAGTGGCTATTGAAGACAGTCCAAGACACAATTAAGGAGGCTGGTGCTGATAAATACGGGGTTAATGCCAAGCACTTCGAGCACTCCTGGGGCCAGAACTCGATTATCGCAACGATTCCTGGTAAGTCGAACGCAACAGTCGTTATCGGTGCTCACCAGGATTCCATCAACCTCTGGTTCCCCTCTATGCTTCCGGCCCCTGGTGCCGATGATGATGGAAGTGGTACCGTCACGATCCTCGAGGCTTTCCGCGTTCTTCTATCTTCGAAAGACGTAATTGAAGGAGATGCCCCGAACACGATCGAGTTCCACTGGTACAGTGCTGAGGAAGGCGGCCTCCTTGGAAGCCAGGCCGTCTTCGCGGACTACGCCAAGAAGAGCCGCGACGTCAAGGCTATGCTGCAGCAAGACATGACTGGATACGTCCAGGGAACTCTTGACGCAGGAAAGCCCGAGAGTGTGGGTGTTATCACCGACTTCGTCGACCCTGGCTTGACAGCTTTCATCAAGAAGGTTATTGAGGAGTACTGCGAAGTCCCCTGGGTTGAGACTAAGTGTGGATATGCTTGCTCGGACCACGCATCTGCTTCCAAGGCTGGTTACCCTTCTGCTTTTGTTATCGAGTCGACCTTCCCCGAGTCCAACCAGCACATTCACAACACGGATGACGTGATTAAGTATCTCTCTTTCGACCACATGCTCCAACATGCGAGGATGACTCTTGCGCTTGTCTACGAGTTGGGTTTCACCGATTTTGAGAAATTGAAGTCGGAGAACGAGATGGGAGAGTTGTAAGAATGAGGGTTTATTAACTAGGCTTTTATCAATGAATTCGATTGATTGTCGAATGCATACGTGGGTTAATGGCGTTTGAATACCTACATGGGTAGTAAACATTTTGGTTAGAACCATAGCGAATATTTTCTTGTACGAGGGTATTGGATTAGCACATGCAATTTACTATACTAGAATGAGTAGAAATCTAGATTTAATTCCATGGTTGTTCCCGTACTATCTAGACTTTAGTGTAAGATATCTAAGCATCTGGGGCCTGGGCAAGCCTATGGATGCCTTAAGTGTACTATGTCGAGCCGATTATCCGAGCTGGATAGTTCGGAGCCGGAGCTTGCGTCATTCTTGTCGGTGAATTAGCCACTCAGGTTCAGTTATTACATGCAGCTTGGCAGCTTATCCTCAAGTCTTGGCATCATAGTTCGTATGGCCTTGTTTTAACCTTGTTTTAACCTCGGAGACTAAGTCTAATACATGTCGTACATTTCTGAAGGCTGCATGTATACACGTATCTTAGATATGTCCGGCGGACAGAGGCGCAATTCTATATAGGATGCGGTTTTTCTTAAAATACTGCAATGGCCTTGATTCAGAATACACAGAATTTGGATCATCTCGTTTTACCATCCTTTCGTCATCGTTACGTACCTTTAGAGACAATCCCGGCAGCAAGTCACCAGATTCATCATGCCAACGAAGCAAGACACGAATGTGCCCACCGAGTCTCCGTTCAGGATTAGTGAGCACTTATATGAATTATGTCTATCATCTGAGAGCGTCTCATCAGCTCTCGCACGAGATTTGACGTTGACTCCTGGCGAGGTATGGAAGAAGCTGTTCGATTGCTATGATCATGACCATGGCTCCAAGGGGGATGTCCGCGACATTGGAAAAGGCTCTCTTAGCCCTGAAGAGCTGGAGAGAGCCAGGGCCTGTGGGAAATGGGGCACAAAAAAGCCCAGCGACTTCTTTCTCAGAGTTAGTTCCAGAAAATGCCATTATAGCAAATAATAAACTAATACAACTAGATCTATCATGATGCGCTATCTACACTGGACGATAATTTGGAGTGCGGTATGGTGAGTCCTTCTCTAATGGGGAGCAGCGGGACTATGCCCTTAACCATCATTTCCGTGTAAGTCAACATGAGGTATACTCGCCCAGCCACATCCTAACTTCCCATTAAAGCATCCCTGATATCATGAGGCACATGTCCAACCTCATTGTCCGTGCCGAAAAAGAGGTATTTCTTGCAACCAATTTTTGGGCGAACGGAGTAGCCTCCAAGTATATCACGAATGCGATAAGAGAGCTCTCACATCGCGCCGGGGAGCGGGGAGTGAAAATCGTCGTGAAGATCATATATGACCGCGGGAGTGCAAAGCAACTTCTCGAGCCACATTATATGGTCCCCGAGAGCGAATACACCGGTAGTGCCGTCGGACTACCGGCTCCACATGAGATTCCCAACATCGATCTTCAAGTCATGAATTACCACCGTCCGCTACTAGGCACGTTTCATTCTAAGTACATGATCGTGGACCGCGAGATCGCCGTTGTACAGAGCAACAATATTCAGGACAACGATAACGTAGAGATGATGGTGCAGGTGGAAGGCCCCATCGTGGATTCGTTATACGATATGGCGCTCTTGAGTTGGCATAAGAAATTAGAGCCGCCGTTGCCGTATATTAACTCTCCCGCAGCTAAGTGCAGAGGTACAAGTTTTACCTCGAGCTATGCTGATATATTCAGTCCTGAAGGAGCTATTAAAGGCTATTCTGCGATTGTTGATACAGATAAACTGCCGGGAGGGGACACCTATGGCCTAGACGCTTTTGAGACCAAACGAACGAATGGACGGACAGGCCATATTAACAGAACGGGTAGATCTAGTATAGAGACATCAACCAGCTTGAGTTCTCTTAACGGAGTTGGCGACCGGTCCAGTAGCCATCAAGGACAAGACGGTTTTATTGTTCAAACTCCTGAAGGAGAAAACCCCTTTGCACCGCAAGGCCTACTTCCGGAGCAAACCGCAGACGCTCCTCACTACGACGAGGATCTCGCCGGGGAAATCCGCCGCATACAAGCGTCCGTAAGCCAAAAGCCGGGCGAAATGCGGATGCAAGCTGTGTCGCGGCACCTCAATCACACAGTCAACGAAAGGTTCGAAGGAACTGCTCCCGAGTGCGATCCGCGGGACGAGATGACACCGTATATACCACATCCAGTACACGAGCCCTTCCCAATGGCTCTGGTCTGCCGTGCTCCTTACGGCCAACCGAATCATTCCTCCGTCTCAAATCCGCAAAACGCAGCCTGGCTGTCGGCGCTGAGAAACGCGCAGAAGAACGTCTTCATCCAGTCCCCGACACTGAACGCAGAGCCCCTTATCCCGGCTATTGCGGAGGCTTGCGAGCGTGGCGTGGATGTTTATTGTTATATTTGCCTAGGGTATAACGACTCGGTAAGTCTTCTGCTATTCATGTCTACTCCGCAAACCCGCCTATTAAAAGCCACTACTATAAACTATAAAAAGTAAATTTATAATACACGTAAAAATACTAACCCCTTACCTATCCCAGGGCGAAATGCTTCCCATGCAAGGCGGTCACAACGAAGCCGTCGCGCACCATCTCTACACCAGCCTCCTCTCCTTTAGCGCAAAGCAACATCTGCACTGGTACTGGTACACCGCCAAAGACCAGACTTCCCCCATCGTAGCAAGCAAGAAGCGGCGGTCCTGCCACATCAAGCTTCTCATTGCGGACGAGCACATCGGCGTTGTCGGGAACGGTAATCAGGACACGCAGAGCTGGTTTCATAGCCAGGAGGTTAATTTGCTAATTGATAGCGGACTGGTTTGTCGCAACTGGATTGCGGGACTGAGGAGGAATCAGAATACGCATTTGTATGGGAGAGTTGGTGGGGAGGATGGGATTTGGAGGGATGGGGAGGGGAGGGAGGCGGAGGGGGCGACGGGTGTGGATGCGGGGAGGTTGGCTTGGGCTAGGGGGGTTGTGGGGGCTGTTAAGAGGGTGCAGGGGACGGGGGGGTTTTAGGGGTGGTTGTTTTAGGAGAGAAGGAAAAGGAAGTATTGGATAGGATGGGTTAGGGGTATGGAGATGATGGTGTTGGTGTGTTCGATGTGCAACGAATGAGTCAAGATCAGGAGGTTTGTTCTTGATCCGTTAGATGCAGTCATTGTGTATAATGGTAATACAAGAAAACATGCTGTATTTATGCAGAAAGCATTGCTGTGGTTTGACGATAATAGTAAGTTTGTGTTCTTATAGTTAGGTGTAAATCTCTTCGATATTGAGATATAAAAATCAAGCTAGACTTATAGGGGGTTACTAGGTATCGTAAATGTGAGATTCTTGGGTATTATAGTAGTGTCACCTAAGCCATTACACAATTTGTTGGCGTTTATAGCTGGTGGTAACTTAAGTGACTCAGACTAGAACCAGTATTGAGTCTGTTGGAGTCATTATCTTAGTTTAGTTTATTCGGTTTAGGCGTATTTCTAGGTAATTTATGACTCAATAACCACTCATACCGATGGGTAACCCTAGAATGGATCAAGTTGAATAACTTGTGTTTGCAGAGCTAATTGCTGTTTGGTGTTATTCCGGATCCCCTATAGACTTGAGTGGAATAGTCGGGAGTTTGCTAAGTACAAAGTTTGAATCGTTGAATTTGAATTGATCCTTAATGCTAGGAGAACTTATCTTGCGTAAATGTTATGGGAGGTACAAGCATGTACAGCAAAATTGGTATGCATTGCCATGTACCATGTATGACAACTGTCAGTCCTGTCATATGTACCTTCAATACGTGTATATGCTGGCACTACTTGCATTGTACGCAAACATGATTGCTCTTACTAAACCTACTACTTCCCTAAGCAAACACGTGCTCCTACCTGTCTTTTATATCTAGGTCCTGGGTTATGTCAGAACATAGGAAGGTGTAGAGCAAATTATAAGAATAAGTGCTTTACTTTACTTACCTAAGGTTTGTCTATGGGCCTGAGACTACATGTAGACAACAAACCTGCTCACTTACAACAATTGCCCACCCTTTCTCCCTTTCTCCCATACACTCCTATCAACATTAAATATATCTACCTCTACCAACTCTCAAAAATACCATAACATAAAGATAAATTCACCAGCACTATCCTTTATAACGCCAAGCAACAAATCTATCCCATTGTTAACCCCTATCGTCTGGAAAACATCAATACGCATCGTCCACACTAATAACCGGTGTTGTGAACGATCTGCCAAGACAATTAATTCATGGCAACTCACACTTACTTGTGTGCGTAAGCTGTTATATATATACAACACAAACCATTCAGATGAACATCAAATTAAGCATAGGTACTACAAAGAGACTCTATTCGATTGTCGACAACCAGCATTTTATTAACTAGCAGTTACTACCAAGCTACCACCTTAGCATCACTCTAACAAGTGTGTAATTTACATATATTTTGAAAAGGTAAGATAAAATAAATATCAGACGATGACCTAGCCAGGAAAGTTGCTAATAACATCTAGGTTGCGTACATAGCCTACCTTCATCCATCAAGAGGCATTAGTCTGCGAGATCGCGGAACAACATTTCCCAGAATCTCACTTCGAACTTCTGGTATATATAAAACCCGAACACTAGTACAATCTACTTCTCTTGGCCTACAATATGATCAGAAGAATCGATCGGCGGGAGTACCTCTCGGATTTAGAGTTTCAATCATGGAGTTTCGATCGGTTCTGCTGCTCTAGACAGACACCCTATGGTATGTTGGGTGGGGATCCCGTCAGGACACGGAGCGCCCAAGAGTTCGACGACACTCACGACGTAAGACAACTTCAAAACGGCCTACTTCAACAGCAATAACTACCTCTTAAAGAACATAATCACGGAACAAAACAAATTGCCCATCAACTAAACTACTTATCACGATTTATTTCAACGATGCAAGGGAAATTACATCCAGTATATCGGTATCTTACCTTAGTAGTGTCCATCCAGGCCAGGGACAGTTACATCAGCACAGTTCATGGGAGTTCCCCTAGGACCCTACGGCAAGACAAGAAGAAAACGCCCAACATCATCATTTTTCAATTTTGAGTATTCCTCATTCCTACTCTGCCTAATGATTCTGCCTAATTATACTTCACTTATGCAACATATCGAACAAAAACAACAGACTGCAAAATTCTATAGAGAGCATCATAAAGCATTTCTTGGAAGTGGCAAGTTGCGACAACTCCTTATTTAGATCCTTCCTCTGTGATCATCGACACAGGACGGCTACTCTCGCCTCTGAATGAGTAGCGGAATTTATCAGCGGGTGCTTGCTTATTTTTCTTCTTCTTGGCAGGTTCGCTGTACAGGATGAAGCCGGTATCGGACAGGCTGTCGCTAAGTGTAGGACCTCTCGAGACATGAAGCTTTGGTGGTCCATCGGCGTTGGGGATTCCGGGCTCGCAAGCTTCGGGGTGAGGGGTAGGGCTGGCTGCTGCATAGCCCTAGTCAGTAATCAATCGCAACATCCAGGTGTTGGATGAACTTACACTTCTCCTCTTCTCGTACCTTGGGTCGAGAGAATATCTTGCGACACCAGGATTTCACTTGTTCGCGGAACGTCTGCCAGGGGGTGATCAATTCGGTTCTGTCCTAAGGAACCGATCCGATGCCCGTTGGGCGAATAGGGTCAAATGCAGGAAGCCTTCTGAAGAACATCTTGGCTAGTTGTTGCAAGTGATAGCGCAGTGAGTTTGGGTGAGTGGATGAGTAGGGGGTTGGTCTTGTCAGTGTGATGGTAGCCAATGGGTCAAGCATGTAATAGACTGGTGGTGCAAGACAACAAGGTGTGAGACAACAAGGTGAAGGAATTGTCGACGAAATTTTGTTCAGAGGCCTCGGGGGGGAGGCTAGGTATATATATTTTGCTAAGACGGCGTGGTGATTTGCGGTGATTTGGTGCCGATGCTGCTAAGGAAAGAGCCAGTTGTACGATGCGCCAATGACGGTTGCCTTACGAGGATTAATCATATACAACGGTTGTATTAATGCAGGTACAGGTCTCTTGTAACCTTACACCAATGAGAGTCCGTGATTAAAATATTCAAAATAAAATATTAACCATTGATCCCCGAGTTTCATTGGCGAATAAATAATATAACATTGATTCACACCCTAAAAGTAAGCCCATATAAACTCGCTCCTTCTATCTTGGATTAGGTACCTATATACATTATGTACCCCTGCCATCTACCCCCAGATTTCGGGAGAGATACAGGGATCTACAGAGATCTGATGTGGGGATCCCCAGCTCTTGGGACGCTGATTTGCCGATCCCGTGCTATGCTGTTCCCCCTATCCCGTAGGTACCTACCCAAGTAGACTGTACCGCTCTTGCAACTTGGTAGAGTTGGGTACCCAGAACAAGTTAGATTATGTTGAATATTCTGGCTTGCGTGATTAAATTAACTAAATATACTTCTCATTTGTCTTAAAATCCTTTTTAAAGGTAGCTGGATTTAAACCAATGCCGGTACTTAAGTTCATTTAATGTCATCACAAGACAAAGGTGGCTTAGATAGGTTAACGCCATCGGTCGGAACTGTGATTTTGGTAAAATAAATGTGTATTTTGGGTTAGCGTACCTTGTGATGCTTAAGGTTTGTTTAGGGGGGTTTGGATTTGCGCTGGAATTGGCCCAATCAAGTGTCAGTTGATTGTATCTAGAATTAGGTATGTACATTTTGATTAATATATGTTCTGTTTGTGTTTGGGTTTATTTTATCTTATTTTTGTTGACCTGTTTACTTCAGGATTAAATATCAAGTAGAATATGGAGAAAGAGCATGCGGGATGAAGCTGTAAAGTTTTATAAGTTAGATATATGCTTTACGAGCTGGGGTTTAAACATGGGCGGTCGGTTCGGTTTGGTTTTATGTTGGATATTAAATTGGAAACATCTATTGGGATAGGACAGGATCTTTAGATAGGTTCGTTAATTATCAAGTAACAAGTCCCTGTAGAGTCCCAGTACTGCAGAGTGGCGTCAAGTGTGTTGGTAAAAGTGTCGTCGTAAAACTTCTGAGAGGGTGTTATATTTGACAGCGTAGATGGAATATGAGGTCTTATTTCCATTTTTATGCTGAAGTAGACATGATATAAACAGATGTAGATATGTAAAAAGATATTGAAATAGATAGGTGTTAGCATATCTTTCGTGTTAGTTCGTGAAAAGCATTCTACCGACCTCGTATGATAAACACTTGCAAGCAAAATACAGACAACATCAAAGGATTAAACTTAGGCTCACGTAGTTTGTGGGTACTTGTTTTTTATAGAAAAGAACTATTAATGATTAGAAGATATATCCCACTAGCCGGGAAAGCCAACCGTGGGACTGTGTACTTAGTACCTAGGGCTAACTGTTCAGTCGCTTGTCCAATGATCGCGCTGTCCCCAACCTGGACCGAGATAACGATCCCCAAGGGATGTTGCTAACTCATGTTCGTCTCGTAGCAGCTCCTTCCCAAGACCTGTGTACTTATTAATCCAGGCAAAAACCTCCCGAAGGTATTTGAGGATGTTCTGGGGCTTATTAACGCCGTGGCCTTCATGAAGGAATACAAGGAGTCTAGACGGTGTTCCCAGTAGCTGTAGCGTACGGAATGCAGCTGTGCCTCCGGTAACTGGACACCGATAATCATCGTTGCCGTGGGCGACGAGCATAGGGGTCTTCCAGTTGGGGAGGAGATCTGGGCGTGCTGGGTTAAACTTCTCTAAACCTTCGGGGTTCTTCCATAGGATTTCCGAACCGCTGAATTCGTCTGTTTTGTCGAAGCTTAGGAATACATCTCGTTCCATAAAGTAGGTTGGCAGATGGAAGATGCCGCCCCAGGAAACCATGGCCTTGAACTGGTCCGAAAAGGCGGATTAGTAGCTGGTATGATATATATCTGTTAGGCATAATTACGGGAAATTACTTACACGTCGGCCAAGTGGATGGCCCTGGGCCCAGTTGCACATGTATCCTCCATAGCTGGCGCCTATCATGACGGCTTTATCAATATCGATATTGGGGTTATGCTCCAGGTAATCCATGCATTTGACTAGATCATCATATGGACGACCGCCCCAGTTATCTCGTATTGCTATCTTCCATGTGAGCTTTTGATGTTGTAAGATGGACCTAATGACATACCTTTTGTGAATTCCCGACCAAAGCCTGTACTGCCCGTAATATTCGGGGCTACAACAATGTAGCCTTGTTCAGCAAAAAGAGCGAAATTAGACTGTAAACACATGTATGTAAGTCAGGTGGCTTATAATATTAACAATAATACGAAAGGGTGACATACGCTAAGGCCCCAAGCGTCTATCCAGGAACTCTCGGGCCCTCCGTGTACAAGAAGAACCAAGGGGTATTTTCGGCTCTCGTCAAAGTAGCTAGGCTTTACCATCCATGCGTGGACTTGGTAGTCGCCAGCACCTTTGAAGTGTACCTCTGAAACTTGCTTCGAGGAAATACCAAGTCGAGCGCCGTAGTTCGAAAACGATGAAAGCACCCTAGGCTCGCGGCTTTCGTCGGTATAGACGATACTGTATAGCGAGCTGTCTACTAGACTTGTGCTGGTTACAAGAACCTGTTCGTCGTCTTTGCCGAGAGGGCGGATTATTTCCACACTACCGCCGCGGAAAAGCAGCTTGGGTTTTGCATTTGGCTGTAGGTCGATCTTGTAAAGATTTTGTCTTCCGTGGTCTTCAGCGGTGACATATAGGGCTTTGCCACTAGGAGCGAACTTGGCCGCCGTTGGGGTTAATGACCATTTCCCATCCGCCAACGTATCAAGCACCTTGACGGATTTGCGTTCGCCAAGCCGGTAGACATGGATGTTGTCCCCTCTCAAGAACAAGACCTGAGATCCATCGGAGCTGAAATAGGAGGATGTACTATAGTCACGGCTCTCGTCCGGGCTTTCATCCGGTAGTTCTATTTTCTTAGGCCCGTGAGTGCTAGCCCTATAAAAAGAATCTAGTCGAAGGAGGTAGGTGTGCCAGACTCGTGATGGCAGATGTTCCACACCAAGATCCTCGGCTACGAATGCGATTGCTCCGTGAAATATATTATATGTTTTTGGGTTGAGGTCTGTGTTGATAAGAGCGTTATGTAGGGATGATCCAGCTAGCTTCCATCCCTTCTCAGACTTCTTCAAAACCGAGTAGAAGATTGAAAGCTTTTTCTGATATACGTAATCGTCCATCTAATAATCGTGTATTGTTAGTTACCTCCCACCAATCCAATCATAACGGCGAGGTTGCCATAGGGGCATCGATAAGGGAAGGGTCTCGTACCTCTCGCACGTCATCAGTGTCATATACCCACCCGGTATGGTTTTGCTGCGTATAATTTGTCTCGTTGCGCAGCTCATTATTTACCCCTACGGGACCGAATACCGCGAACGCAATATCGCCGTTTTTGAGACGCGCCACTCTGAGGTCGGATAGTGCCGCGAAGAAACGGGCGGTTTGCCTTTTCACATCCGGCCTCTTGATATCGTACGTTGCGACCTGGGTCTGGTTCTGAGCACACTCGGCCCTGCTCATGGCTATTACCGTATTGGGCTCGTCTGCCAACCAAGCTGCTTCATATGCAAGCTCATCCGTGATGAGGGTTTGTGATTTTCTGGTTGCGATGTCCATAGTTTTCCAGCAAACGGATACTTCACCGCCAATTGGGGCTTTACGCTCGTAATAGAGAACCTGCGTTCCATCATGGTTAGGCATAGCTCCCCCGCGCGTAGGTTCCTCAACCAGTATTTCGGGTGTTAATAGCTCGTTGGTAGGTTGGGGATCCATATTGCCTGCTATTATTGATAGGCAAGTATTAAGTGCTGGTATTGGTAAACGGATTGATGATAGGATATCTAGAAAGAAACGAAGAAGACGGAGGATTTATATATATAATTTATTAAGAGAATTGTAGGTAATCGTTCCGGCTGTGAATATATTATAGATACAGTCACGTAGTTTATACTATACCCAGGATTCAACAGGTAAATCAAGCTCTTCTGGGCTGATTCTCAGATCAAACATGACTTAGTATATAAATAAATAACATTCACCAAATGCTCAACTACAGATGGGGGAATAAACAGGTGAATAATAGCGTAATTATAACCTGGCTTATTTATTTGTAAACCCCTTACTTATAACAATACCGACAACATACGCTACACGTGTCTAAAAATTCAAACCATGATGTCTTGTATGGCATAAACAAGGTAAGTTACGTGTTTGAGTTTTCTGGATTTAATATAGCAACTAAATACAGATTGGAATAGCATCACAAAAGTGATTAGCCTTAAGTAACAATCACACAAAGAGTCTGATAATGTCACAGCAATTATTATATAAGTCCAAAAAACAACAATTGTTACTCACAGTCCAATCTCTTCAAGATATGCTTACATCTGTTGAAAATAGAAGCTATCTATTGTCACGTACTCTCTAGTAGAAAGTTGGCTGAGGAGTACCTGCGGGTCAAGATAGGAGGTACCTATACCCATCTACAGTACCAAAGTGCCTCTCACTGTGGTCAAGATCTCCCCAGAAAAAGAAAGCTTAGATCAGGGTTTAACCCAATCAGCGTTCCCGGATAACCATCTCCGAATTCGGTCCAGGCTTATAAGAAGTTGAGCTCCGTACACCGAAGGCGCCTATCACTTTCTTTTTTACATATCACTTTTCATTATATAGAAAAGAAAGAGCCATAGAGACTTAGTGTAACCTGCAGAACTAGAATTCCCTCATCTCTTATTAGACTTTCTCGCATTTAATCAGACCCGATGTGTCAAACAACTTAATTCCTCCCCCTCGCCCCGAAGTCCCTCATCTTCGTGATTTGATTTCGAGTTGCGAGGGAGTACGCAAGTATATTAGTGGTCGAGTATATAGTCGAGTATATAAAGTAAAGTAAACGCCTAAAGTCACGATGAAAAACGACGTCGGCGTCGAAAAGCCGCTGGTCAATCCGGCATCGCCATCGCCAATCCCGCTCCCGGGCAAAGACATGCCCTCGTCCGGGCTGCAACAGCGATGGAACACGAAGAACATAGGCTTAAGACTAGGCGCCGACTTAACAAGCGCCGCATGTGCTGCGTCGATGGTCGCGCCTCTCATATCCATTATTGACAGGAACGTTGCTAGTTTCCCGTCCGGCTCCCATATGCGCTGACCGCGTCCTCGCTCTAGATCCATAATGGAAAACGCATCCGGGCGGAACACCCTCGCCAACAGCCTCCGGGCCTCTTTCCAGATGCTTCTTCTTCGCCCTCATACCATGCTTTTCTCCAAGCCCGTCGCTTTGATATTCATGCTATACGGAGGCACGTACTGGACTGCGAACACGCTGGATACCGCAACTTCGACAGCGCTGAACAAACCCGCTACGCACGTCACGACCGGGACGGCCAAGTTCGCCGCGTCGAGCGCTGCCAATGTCGGGCTCTGCGTTTACAAAGACCAGGTTTTCGTCAAGATGTTCGGGCCGGGTGGACCGCCGCGCCCTGTGCCTATGCCGAGCTACGTGCTATTCACGCTGCGCGACTGTCTCACAATCTTCGCCTCCTTCAACGTACCGCCACTTCTCGGGCCTATACTTAACGAGCGCATGGGCACTGAACTGCAGAAGAAAGTCAGCGGAACCACCATCGCCCAATTCGCCGCTCCCGCCGCTGTCCAGCTGTTCTCGACGCCTGTGCATCTACTCGGCCTCGACATGTACAACCGGCCAGGGATGGGGGGCCTCGTGTCCTGGCGCGACCGATGGATGCAAGTCCGGAAGAACTGGGCGATAAGTGCTGTGGCGAGGATATGCAGGATCGTCCCCGCATTCGGGCTAGGAGGGACGGTGAACACAAAGGTACGAAGAAATCTCATGGAGAAGCTCGCTTGAAACAAGTAGACGGCTTCATAGCGGTTGCAACTTTTTTTGCTAGAAGTGTGTTATGGCACGGTGTTACGGATTCTCAGTGTTACGGCGGATATTTTTTTTTAAAAAAAAAACGGATTATACTAGACGGCAGGCTTGGACGAGCGACCTCAAGGCGGGTTTTTGGGATTGGCGGCTAATAGCGATATTCTGTTTTGACGTATTAGAAGATTTCAATGGCGGTAATGATGGAATCAACATGGTATATGATAGAAGTTAACGCAAGACATGCTCTACTTGTAAATTCCATATATCCTAGACATTATAGAAGACCAGCCGCACTAAGGGCCTCCATGATTTGCTCTTCTGCGTCTGGAGTCTTTCGTGGCTTGTTGCGGTATTCCCCCGTATCGATGTAGTTCTCCCAGAACTTAAGACCTTCAATACCTTCTTCGCGGCAGAGAACACCCCTCTCTTCGGCCATCTCGAGCTCCTCTTCGGCGACACCAATACTCCATCCGAATTGCTCAGCAGCGTCATGCGCAGTAACGCCACGACCGAACTCCTGCCAATCCCAAGCGACATCTCTATCTGGTGGTATGTCGTGCAAGTCCCGGAGCCACGTTAATAGTGCCTTGATTGTGGTGTCGTCTGTACGGTCGCGGCTTTGGACTACCATCACGCCACTCTTGAACGTACGTAGTCGGACTGGTAGTCTCAATTTACCCCACAAACGGGCCGCCTTTTCAAAATCATTAGGACTAACAAGTTCGACACCTCCACGAGCGCGATTGAACATAGCCCATAAGTCAACTAGACTAATGATGCCGCCGGCTTTCTTAAGTACTCCTCTAGCGTCGTCCGCCAAGAACTCTGCGAGGTTCCGAGATAATTCGGACAAGTAAAGCGACTCCGATCCTGAGCTACTTCCGCCACCTACGATGTCTTTGGTGGTCACGAGGCCTAGCTGGCTAGCCGACTCGGCAAGTAATGCGTTTGCTTCGGATGTCGCATTTTCGGCGCCACCGTTGACCTGCCGGGCAAATGATTCCGCAAGCGCTACGATTTCCTTGGCAGAGGCCATCAAGGCTTCAAGATCCTCAAAGGCGCTCCCAATGACCAGCTCGTTGTTCTTCCGCCTATCTAGTCCCATCTTCTCTAGCCCGGCGATACCGGCGGTTTTGTTCCGGCTAGCGCCAGGCCTTGACGTCGACAATGAGTCCGCGCGGGTATCGGTAGAACCCCCGTTCGGAATAGGGGGCGCTTCTTGTAAGAGCCATTTGCGCTGGGTCATAGAACTCTTAAGCCGCTCGTAGAATATCTTCTCTCCCCCATTTCGGAAAGATAGCTTGACACTCTCCGGGTTCTCTAAGCCGGTAGCACTAGATAAATTAAGCGTAGGTCCCGGCGAGTCTGTCCTAGGTTGGCCATGCGCTACTGCTATAGGAACATCATGGGAAATAAGGGGCGCGCCACATATCTCACAGGTCAAGAGAGAGGGATGGTTCAAAAAGGTACAGCGGGGACATTCAAAGCCATCCGGCTTCGTCGAACCAGCTGTAGTGTCCCGTGAGAAAATATTTGCTTCTAGACCCCGAGATCGATCGTTGGCTAGACCTAGAGTTTGCGGTCGAGAAGGCAGTGTAAATGACGACTGTGGGGTAGAGCCGGAAGAGGTCACTTGTCTACTAGTAACACTCGATATAGCAGCTTTAAGCATATGCGTTAATGCTGGTTTGATACCACACGCCAAGCATGATGGTAACGGCGTATGAGCATTCGCCGTTGTCGGGTCGAAATTAGATGGAACCGGATTTGGAAAGCTACATATCGTACAAATCCATGTTGCTGAACTGGCCTGTGGTGTACTGGTAGAGGGGGACCGAAATGAAGACTCGGATGTTGGTAGAGGTGATGCGCCACTACTACGGGAGACGGTCGATGTGGCTACGGAGGCTCTGGACTGGAGAGAACCTCGTTTGGCTGGTTTAGGGAAAAGGGTTACTTTCGGAGAAGATTTTAGAAATCCCGCCTATAAAGAAAGCTCTTAGCAAAAGGATTCCCTTTCGTGAAGGTATAATCTAACTCCTACATAGAACTCATATCTCTCTACATCTTTTAAGTCCAAAGCAACAGAGTACTTTCTGGGCTCTTGTTTGTCCACGTAGCATATTCGATGCGAGGTCAAATAGACTTGACCATTCTGTTGGTTCGGTAATTTGTATTTCCTATGAAGATGAATAAGGGCAGCGGTGATTAGTTACAGAAGAACCATAGACATTGGCGTTGCAATCGATATTGGATAACCAGCAGACTCACCCCTCATAGAGCCCCACGTTGTCCTGGACAAAGAGAAGCACTTCGTCGGGAAGATAGGAAGGCCTGAGGGCAGTAGTAAGGTCGATTTGTTTTAAAAACATTCGTCATATCGGTTAACGTGAGCGAAAGACTGAAATCTGGGAGGACAACAAGCCGGGAATACTTGTCTGTGAGTTTGATAAGAAGATGTCTGAAAGAGTTGGACTGACGCAAGCTGAGATCACCGACAATAAGGAAGGTACCTTGATACATGTAGCTCCGATGTACGAAGTACGAAGTACATACATTAGTTATGACATCTGAAAGAACATGGTCCGTGCAACTCGGACCCATATATCGGTATTCATTCCGATAATACTCCGAAGATATTCCAGCACTTATAGGCTAGCGCCATTTGATTTATCTCAGTAAACTCAGACCAGTGACGCGAACTTTGTTGTACCCCTCCCGCCACACCTTTTTTTAACCAATCACATCTCCAACTTACCCCCCCCACAAATTTCGCATCTTTGGTCTAAGGTAACTCGGGCGATTTTTGCCACATCAAATTATTTAACATTAAAAATAACATTAAAAACAATATTAAAAATAACATTAAAAATAACATTAAAAATAACAATATTAACGCGTTTAAAATAAGTTTTAATTAATTTAAAACATTTATTAACTTTATTATTAATAAATATATGCGTTTTAAGCTTTTTAAGGGGTTATAACATCGGTTACAACATTGTAACCCTGGTTGTAATACTGGTCGCAACGTTTTTAAAAATATATTACGTTAAAGCTTATAACATTATAACGCGATACCGTACGGGCATGTAAAATAGTTAAAAGGCTTAAGTAATTAAATTAAAAGGTTTAAATTATAAAAATAAAAGATATTTCAAACATGGTTATAGGTGTAAACGCGTAAATGTAAATATTGGTATAATATATTACGTATTTTTAAACGTTAAAACTTGCGATATTATAACGCGATGCCGTATAAATATATAAAAAAAATGGGAAAGTAAAAAAAACATAATATTAACTTTAAATTATAAAAATAAAAGTTATTGCGTACGTTATTGTTAAATATAAAGTTATTGTAAATATAAAGTTTAATTTTTAAAAAAACTTATTTTAACGTGGTTAAAAACGCTTAAGTTATTTTAAATTAAAATTCGTTAAAACTTACATTTATAACTTATAAATACAATTACACAAGCCAAGCGTTTTATGGCGCTTGTGGCGCAATCAGGCGTAAGCTTGATTTTTAACGAATTTAATTTAAACTATTAAAATAACATTTAATAACGTTAAAAAACACCATATAAGGAAAGTTAACACAGTAAATTGCTACATTGTAAATACCTTTATCTTAAATGACTTTAAACCAAAGTTTCGATATTTAATTCGGGGAAATGTACCCTTTTAACCACATTATTTCCTTAACCAATTATAACCCGTACAACCTTTTAAAAAAAATATTAAAACTTTAATTTAAAGTTATTTTAAATACGTGTTTATTAAAAATCGTTTTTATTTTTTAAAAATATTATTAAATTAATAAAATTATTAAAAATAATAATATTAACACGTTTTTATAATAAATAATAATTAATTATATAATTATATTAATTTTATTATTAAATTTATTAATTAAATTTACGCGTTTTAAATTTTTTAAAACGTTAAAAATGGCTATAACACCGATTATAACATTAATTATAATATTAATTATAACATTTTATAATATCGGTTATAACATATATTATAAAACTTAATATATAAAAAGGTAATATTATATAAATATATAAAAAAATAAAAAAGTTTAAATAATAATATTAATAATAAATTAAAGTTAAAATAAAAAACATTTTTTTATATATGTAATATTAAATATAATATTATAATATTATAATATTAATTATAATATTTTAAAAATTAAATACGTTTTAACGTTTTAATTTAATTTATAAAAACATAACGTTATACACATATATAAAAAAATTAAAAAAATAAATTAAATATATTATTAACTTTAAATCATTTTAATTAAAAATATTTCATACGTTTTTATAATATATTAAATTATTATAAATTAAATTTTTTATTATTTATTATTAAAATTAAAAAATAAATTATATTTAAATTTAATTAAGTTTTAAACCAAAATTTATTAAAATTTACGCATATGTTTTATAAGTATAAACATATAAGCCATACGTTTTATAACATAAGTAAACGCAGCCCGTCTTAATAAATTCTAGTTTAAAAATTAAAATAAAAGTACTTAAAGTATTAATAACTTTAACTGTATAGCTTAACTTTTTTAATTGTATAACCCATTCCACTTTCCACGTAAAATAAATTAATCGCGCGCCATATACTTAACTTATACAATATAATCGAATTAATATAAAATATATTTATATAAAAATATATAATATATATAATATTTTTAAAATAAAATAAAAAATAAAACATTATTTATTTATATTTATTTATATTAATATATATTTTTATTTTTTATTAATAATTTTTATTATTTTAATATTATTTTTAATATTTTTATTAAATAAATTATATATATTATTATTATTATTTATATTTTTTTTTTAAATTTTTATATTATTTTTTATAAGGTTTTATTTAATATAAAACTTAATAAATTAAAAAAAAAAAAAAAAAGATTTTTTTTATAAACTATTTTAATAATA